TGAACAAGTGGCAAATCAATGAGAAAATCTTCTTGGGACGTCTATTGATTCGCTCCGGATGCAATGATCGATTCATAGGTTTATTTGTTTGTTTTATTATAGACCTTCAATCCCTCTGTCAGCACACTTCTGTACTGTTCTCTCTTGTTCTGTAATCTTCATCCGTTTGGGGAAGGGAGTAAAGAAGCAGTACCTCGTGAGAAAGATCAATAAGGAAAATACAGGACCGTAACGTGATTACCTTTGAATTAAAAAGTTGAATGCGAAGCAAACTGTTCCTGTTGAAAAACAAATGTGAACAGACAAACAAAAAAAAACCAGCATCGATAACGAGGTTATGAGTGCACTGAACACCGATCACTGACCAGATCCACCAGCTGGTACCAACTGAACTGGTTGTGTTCCGAACACTTGAGATATTTGGGACGCATCNNNACGCATCCAAGTGCGAACGTGAATGGGTGACCACCAAGGGGCGTGTGGTCGTAGACTCCGGTTTTTCGTTCTTTTGTTCCACAGAAATACGTTCTTTACCCAAGGCAGTGGTCCCGTTTTGCATAGCTCGTCTCAGATCCTCAGACATTGCATAGGTGGACCAGGACCAATCTGAGTGGTAACCAAGATACAAAAGACAAACACACAGAGAGAGAGAGATGTAGAGGATTTGGATAAGAACTAATGAATTCATTATTAATCATGGTGTCCATTGTGTGCCATTGATTCACTCCTGAATAGCTCGCTCTCTTGGTCAACGTTGATTGCGGTTCGAAGTACAAGATCAATGGATTTTGACATGGAAAACTGAGTCTTCATTGTATGGAAAGGTTCGATCAATCGAATGGAAAGGAGCGGGGAGCTTTGGCAATAAACAAAGAGTGTGATTCTTCACTATCTTGGCGAACAAAAGACCAGTAACAAACAAATATAATTGAAAATGTGAACTAATTGGATGAGAGAGTGATTGGACTCCCCCCCCACCCCACCCCAAGTAACTGGACGACCGTTTGTGAATTTTTTTCGCTTCTCCCTGATATCTCTTGATTTACAAAAAACTTATCTCTTTCATTGAACATGGTCATACTTCAAATACAAAGACTGAGTAGGGGTTGAAAAAGAGAAAAGATTGACAATAATTGACTTTTAAATCTGTCCATGTCAAACCTCCATGATCCCAAACACGTGATCAACTGTCGTAATCCGAACGCGAACGAATAAAAACATCCCAAACGCGCCTGAGATCGGTCGGATCCAGAGGGAAACAGGCTCGCGTGAGCCGAACTCAAACAGACATGAAATACAGTCCAGTGTGTGTGTGTGTGCATTCGGCTCAATCAAATCTGTACAATGCGTGGGGTTAGTGTCATCGAGAAGTGGAACTTTGGGACTGAATGAACTTGAGCGCTGACTGAAAAGTGAAATGCCCGTTATTATGAAGCGACATAAAAGGACTCGGGACGTATGATGCTATCCATCGCATTGAAAGCCATGAGGTGATGAGACAAGAACCAAAAATCCATTATTCACCTTACCCGGAAGGATTCGCGGAGAGTTAAAAAAAGCATTGTGATAAGTCTATGAATCCAGGTGAGGCATTGTGTACACTGACATGACCAAATACACGAAACGCCAAGATCAGTGTGTGATGCTGTTCTGGTGGGGGTGGGGGTTGTTAGTCCCAACAGACACGTCTTGGCGCGTTCTGCTTGCGGTGAATGTTCGGTAGTGACATGCCGGTGTAATTCACTTACCTCGTTGTCAAGTTCGATAAGAGATAGACAACAATCACTGGTACTATCACATGCGTAACGTATACACGATCGCGCACACAACTATACACACGCACACGCACAGAGAGAGAAAGAGAAAGAGAGGGTAAACATACATGTACGATTGAGAAACGGTTGATGCACCACACCAATCACCGGATAACCGTGCAAAGCAACACAGACCATGACTGTTACGTAGTCCAGAAGTCCTTCTGAAAATAAGGGCGGGGAAATAGAAAGCAGAGGAGTTACACTGTTTAAACGGGATTGATGGAGTGACAGAATGAACACAATTTGTTGCATAACCCGACCAAACCAAATCGTAGANGTAGAACCCACACGAACGTACACAATGCAGGTGACAGCCGGTTATCTGGGTGGAGAACTAATGAGATGGCCCAGGTAACAGTGAAGCTACCGCTTATCCCCAAAGTTAGATCACAATGGAAGGGTTTCGGCGCTCAAACTGTTAGAAACTACAGAACACTCTTCTTTGTCCTATTCTTCTTCACTCACCGCTAACTGCAGCATTAGCGACACCGATCATTCCTCAGTTTCTTTATAAATTCTGATCTGGACCTTATTTCTCTTTGGGACTGTCTCAATAGTGTTTTCTTTAATGCCTGTAAAAATTCCCTTATGCCCATCTCTCATAAACACGCATCGTTCTCCCGCTCATCAAACTTTAACTCGAACATTCTCCGTTCCACAGATTCATGCAAATCATTGGAACTTTCCTTATCTCCCTCTTTTTTATGGTCAACATAGATTCATCTGCTTACCTCTCGCGCCGAGCCCTAATTCGGTCTCTTCTTCCACACCAAGCGTTACTTTATCGTCATTTATCTCCTCTCGCATCAGAAAACTCCAATTGGCCCTACACTTGGATATTGCAATCCTGTGCGGAGTGGAGCTTCGTTCCCTCTTTGTCCCTTCTTGATCGGGTTCAAAGTCTGGATGGTTCAGTAGGGGTCAACAGCTTCAGAACGAAGCAATGATGCTTGTTCGTCGTATCGGTGTATGCACCGACCAATTGCAGTATACCTGAAATCAAGGATGAGTTCTATATGGATCTTTCTCAGTTATTTCGGAGTGCTCAATCAACGGACATCGCAGTGGTCGCCGGAGACTTTAATGCTCATGTAGAATCCCTGGACGAATCAGAAAGGTTTCTTGACGGACCGCATGCAATCCCAACCAACCGGAAGGACAACGGAGATCACCTACCTCAAATGTGCGCGGACCACGGATTGTTCCTGTCCAGTACGAACTTCTCTCACAAGAAACGACACCGCCTTACATGGAAACCACTTACCTCTTCACAGCACTGGACCCCAATCGACCACATTGGCACCAGTTACCGCTGGAGAGGGTCGATTCAAGACTGCCGCTCTCATTGGTCAAAACCTGTTTATACGGACCATGCTTTGTTAATAGCCCAATTCTCCTTACGCCTGGCAAACGACCGCAAAGAAGCCACCAATAACGGATACCCACGATACAACGTTAGCAACAGTTGTAAATCAGTCATCGAAGAGGAGACCTCTGATCACATCTCAACTGAATCATCAGCCGAAGGACTCAATAAACTCTGGACGTCAATCAAAGAAGCTATCCGGATGTCAATCAAAACAACGGCGGATTTTGGCGCACGATAAAAACACGATGGATACCATCGACCACGGCCGTCCTTCGGTACGCCCGTAGAACCATTCCTTCTGATGTCAAATTTGACACAGTGCGCAAATCCCTTAAACACCAGCTCATCATGAAGCGGTGAGTAGAAAAGTGTAGAGATAGAAAAGACTGCGGCTATCGGTAATAGTCGCAATATTTGCTTTCTCTTTAGGACTACAGGCTCAAGCGAAGTAGGCGTAAGTGAGGTAGGCAGCTTTACTGTCATTCGGTTTAATACCACACATCCAACCTAGTGGGTGGGGCCTTATATATAGTTCGCCACTCCAAGCCGCCGGGGCTTCGATTGTCGGTTTCCATCACTGAGCAGAAGGTCCTCGTGACTATGAGGTTCGCTCCGTCTGCTGTTCACTGTACAATGTGTGTAATGAATAACAAAAGAACTTACCGGAAAATTCCTGAGTTGCATCGAGGGGATCAACCCAAACAGTAATATCTGAGGTGGGAACGAAAAATTTGATGTCCGGTAGCAACGCATCTGAATTTGAGTAAGTGTGTGGTTGTCTCGGTAAGGGTTGGTCCGGACTGACCGGCGGATGCTCCTCCGAGATGACCTGCGATGAAAAAATCAAGGCAAAAAATGCATGGAGATAATGATCCTTCGAGTGCCAAATAAAAAAGAAACCATGAAATTGAGTATTATCGTAAGAAAATTGCCAGCTGAGGGTCGGAGTGAGCACTTACTTTCAGATCTGGAAATGCATCAACAAAGCCAGATACGAGTAGTCGATGTGAGAGTAGGTCCACATCTGTAAGCATTTCGTTTTTCGGTCCGCTTCCCGACGGAGCCTTGATACGTGAGTTCATTTTGCCCTCTTGATATTGGGAACGGATCAAATAACCAGCGTCCTCCACCAAATGAATTGCCTTTTTTGTCAAATCACGTAGATTAATTGTGGTTCCATGCATGTGACCAACATTCCGCCGTCCGGATAAATAGTACAGAAGTAAAACGGTGACCGATATCAAAATGATACACCAGCCTTGCTTATTCAAATGAATAAAAGCCATTGTGATGCGAGTTGACAAACACTAGGTGGATTCTTGGTCAGTAAGGGATCGCTGCAAAAAAAGAAGAACGCATGATGATGAATCATAAAGATTGAGACAAAAGTCATCGTACATGGTATTTAGAATTTACAGCGTCACGAAGAAAAAAAAAGGTTCGTGGGAGGTTCTCACTCAGAAACCCTTTAATTTAGAACGTATGTGAATTCCTAAATGGCTCATCAAGAGACAGTTGCCTCATGATCCTTTGTCACAGTTACAATTCTCTACCGGTGCAGCGCTGCTGCACACTGTTCGATCTATTTCTATTCCAGTTACTAGGATTCCAAAATCCCTAGTCTTCTGTGTTGTTCTTAATGAAAGACCGGTATGGGTGTTTCCCACGATTAGCCATTCATCCCCAGTGTTCAAGACATGGGTCTTCCTCGCGTTGCATGGCAAATCCCATGTACTTGTCCTCTTAAGCACTTCCTCTATGTTCCTTCCTAATTCTGATCTGCCAGTCAACCCTACAATCTTGATATCGTTCGCAAATATAAAGCTTGGCATGCAAAGGCATTCCGAAAGACTATTTATATACGTCAAGAACGGGAACGGACCCGGGATTGAACCTTGTGGCACCCCACTATAGGTGAAACTTCTCCGACCATCGGTGTTTACGCAGTTCGGTTCAAGTCGGATGAAGCTAAATGGGTTAGCCGTCGTATATTCGGGAGTTCATCGGGGATAGATCTGTTAGCTAATCTAATTCCGATTAGTAGGCTTTGTTGCTTAGGACACATTGCGTACGCCCAACTGTCGTCTACCACACCACGCCTTATTCAGTGTAGCCTCTTCGGGTTGGAGAAAACCATGGAGAAGTCAACAGATGATGTAGACATGAGGCAGGAAGAAATGAACAGAGTGACCCCCGCCTTCCGGGTTGGGGTCCAACAGATTGCAAATGGTTGATTGGAGGCGATGGAGGACATGATAGCAGTGAAATTCTTTTTGTCACTTCTTTTCAGGCCAGAATGGTTAAAAGGGTGTTTGTGCAAAGTGAAATTGTGTACGTTGATCATGGAGCTTCACTTTCTTGTCCCCTCCCTCAAGATATGCCAGTTTCTGTCAACCTTACATACTCCCACTAACTTTGTATGCATTATGAGTTTGACAGCGAGCGCGAAGTTTGATTCACTGTACAGTGATAATGATGCTGATGATGATAACTTCTACGACTCGTACCTGGAAAGTTCGACTGGTTAGAAAATAAGCACACCATTTATATGTCCTAACCTTTATCCCTATAGCCTCTATCTTGACCAGAATTAAGCGAAGACACCGAATCAAATGCTTCACTAAAGTCTAATTCAGCATTGGCATAATCGAACAGGAAGACACAGTGAAGTGAACTTCGCTGATCGCTGTCAAGCTCAAAGTGTAAATAAAGTACCTGAGAAAGTACATGATGGATATGATCGGGGCCTGATTCAAGGGAGACAGAAATTAAACCTCTACGGTCAACACACAGAGTGCAAAATCTAGCTGTGCCCACACCCTTTCAAACATTCTGACCCGATAAGAAATTACAACAAAAACGTCTCAACCCAACCAGTTAGTTTCACTTTCATCATTGTATAGCATAATACACTGAAACCAACTTCACCGATCGCCGCCAAACTCATATTGCATACAAGGCAAGTGAGAATCTGTAAGGAGGATAGGGATTGGACTTACTTTTAGGGACGGAAAAAGAAAGCGAACCCCCACGGTCAACACACAGAGTACACAGTCCAACTGTGCATGCATAATAATTCAAGCATTCTGGTCTGATAAGACAGCATAACAGCATGA